ATCTATAGTCCTGCACTCAGGTGTGACACTGCATATCTATAGTCCTGTACTCAGGTGTGACAGTGCATATCTGTAGTCCTGCACTCAGGTGTGACACTGTATATCTATAGTCCTGTACTCAGGTGTGATACTGCATATCTATAGTCCTGTACTCAGGTGTGACAGTTCATATCTATAGTCCTGCACTCAGGTGTGACACTGCATATCTATAGTCCTGCACTCAGGTGTGACACTGCATATCTATAGTCCTGTACTCAGGTGTGACAGTTCATATCTATAGTCCCTCTCAGCACCCAGGCTGTCCTTTAACTTACCATAGCTCCTCCTCTTCCATTTGCAGGCTCCCAATTGTTGATGTTGCCTTAGCAGTCTATGTGATAGATATTCCTTTTTTTTTTTTTTTTTTTTTAAGTCAGGGTTTCTCTGTGTAGTCCTGGCTGTCCTGGAACTCACTCTGTAGACCAGGCTAGCCTAGAACTCTTGAACTCAGAAATCTGCCTGCCTCTGCCTCCCAAGTTCTGGGAGTAAAGGTGTGTGCCATCACTGCCTGGTGTGAGTGATATTCTTGATACTCTCCTTTTTCAATAAGTGAGGAAACTGAGGCACATAGTTAAGTATCTTGCATGAAATCATCATGAGTAAGAGGTCCCAAAAGGATGAGTCCGACAGCAGAAAATACTTGGAAGTTTCAGTATTTCAGTTCCAGTTGACCCGTCCTAGTATACCTTTGTAAAAGCCGAAGGCTAGCTCTACCACCAAGTGGCAGCTCGAGCCTCTTTACTATGGATTGAAATTTCTTGGTGTATCAGATTCAAAGCTTAGCCGCAAAGGTTTACACAGTTGCTTTATTTACTGAAACTGGGTCTTGCTGTAGAGAACAGGCTGGCCTTGACCTTTCAGTGATCCTCCTGCCTTTGCCTCCTTTCCGGGGTGGGGTGGGAATTACAGATCACCATTAAGCCAATATGAGTCTTCCCACTTTAAATTTATAAATGAACCCATTTTCTCCTCTCAGCTACCTTTTGAGAAGATGGAATTGGAGGTGCAGATTAATGTCTGGCCCCAAACTCCTACTACAGCCCAGGCTGGCCAGGAACTCCTGGACAGTCCTCCTTCAACCATCTCAGTGCTGGGACTATAGGCGGCACCCAGTATTATTTATATTTTGGTTTTGGCCTTTTTCTTTCTTTTCTTTTCTTTTCTTTTCTTTTTTTTTTTTTTTGGTTTTTCGAGACAGGGTTTCTAGGTTTTGGCCTTTTTTAAAACAAAGAACAAAACAAAACCAGGATCTCTATGTGTTCTTTGGCTGGCCTGGAACTTAACTTTGTAGACCAGGCTGGTCTCAAACTTGCAATGCCTTTCCTGCTTCTGCCCTGCCCCAGTGCTAGGATTGCCGGCGTGAGTCACCAAAATGGTTTTTCGTTTGTCTTCTAAGACAAGGTTTTGTACAGCAAGCAGAGGCTGGGCCTGACCTTCTGGCTGTCCAGTTCCACCTCCCAGGTATTGGGGTTACAGGCCTGCGCTACCATGCCTGGCAAATGCAAGAACTTTAACGAATAGTTTAAACCGACGATTGCAGTTTTTATTTATTCTGTGTACATGCCTCTGTGCATAACCAAAAAACAAAACCTGTTCTGTGCGAGTCTATCTGCTGAGCCATCTAGCCGGCACCAACTATAATATTTTTAGACAGGGTATCACTGCAAATTCCAGATTGGCCTTCAGATCACAACTTTTCCCCTAAGCAGGCATTTGGTGGCTAAGACCAAGATCAATGGTAGAACACTTACTCGCCTGCCATTCACAAGATTCTGGGTTTTTTTTACCCCCTAGAGCCGAAGCGTGCAAAAAGGTACTTGACACAAAGCAGTACTTAGAACAGGGACCACTTTGTAGAGCAAAGTTAATGTTTCCACGTTGGAAATTAACGAGCAAAGGTAGAAGACATTTCAGACGAGCCTTTGAACCAAGATTCCCAGGACTGCCCCCCTAACCCCCAGCCCTTACGCGCCCAGTTGGCCTCTGGCTCCGCCCCTTCCCTCCTAGCCCCGCCCCACCTGCTCCGGTCGCGGCCTACGCCACTCTCGCGCGTTTTCGGCGCGCGCGAGCTCCTCAACGAGGGCCGGCGGTTGGTCGGGCGAAGCCATCTGCCACGTTACGTAGGGGGAATGAAAGCCCAAGTGGCCACACTGTCCTTCACTTTTCAGATTTACAGACCCAACCATTCTCATTCCTGTATTTCTGTACGTTTTTCTATACGCCGAGGAGCCTGCTCGTCTCCGAGCCGCTTCGAGGAAACAGCGTCTATGGCTCTCCTCGGAGAGCTCCCCTCCTGACAGGAAGCGGGTGGGAGAGGCCGAAGGCGGGCGAGGGCGGGAGGCGGCCCTAGCGCCATTTTGTGGGCACGAAGCGGTAGCTCGGCTGTTGTCGGATTCCTTCCCGCCTCTGAGTCCTCGTTGTGCTTCCTAGCAGCGGCCTAGCGGGTGAGTTGCTCGCCGAGGACGCCTGACGTGCTTTGGGTGTTGCTTCGGGGAGGCCTAGGGCGATCTGCGCCGCGGGAAGGGAGCTATGGAGCGGGGCCTAGTTGGCCTCGCGCCACCGCGTCGTTAGGGCCCAGCGCGGGCGGCTGCCGGAGCGGGACGCCGCCGGGCCTGCTGGGCCCTGAAGCCGCGGGCCGAAGTTTGTCGCGACCCCGCGGCGCCAGCAGTGGTTGTCCCTATAGGTTCTCGCATTTGAGAATAACCGTTGTCGCCATGGCACTTGTACTCTCGCGGCCCCACCCCGGGCCGAGTTGAAAGGAGGGGAAAAATCAACGTTGTCTGTCGCGCATGGCCTTCTGGGAAGTGGCGGCCTACCCCCACGGAGTATCTGTCGTTGCTCCCTCGACGCTCAAGTTTAGCTAGACCTTCCCGAAAATGAGGAACGGAACTGCTGAGTCTCTGTTCTGATCGGTTTTTCGTGCTGCTCTAGCATAGTCCCAAGATTGATCTGGTTCCAGTGCGTTGCTAATTCCTTTCACTTAAAGCACGTGCTAAGTCCGATTTAGGTACTCAGGCTTTAGAATAAATTAATTCAGAACGGTCACAAAATACTGTAGCCTGCAATCTGTGCACGCCAGGTAAGAACCTTGTTTGCAAGGGGGATAAAAAAAAACACTTCTTCAAAACCTTGTTTTTGTCTGGCTTTGTAACCAATCGGCCACATGGTAACACTGTTGCAGTTTTAGCAGCGGAAGCTTGTAGTAAGCCCCGAGAAAATGCTTGAACTGTGTGGGGGGGGGGGGGAAGAGCATCATCCACCACCACCACCAGCTTTCTCTGTGTAGCCCTGGCTGCCTCGGGACTTTAGACCAGGCCGGCCTCTGCCTCAAGAGTGCAGAGATTAAAGGCATGGGTTACCACACCTGGCAAAAATCACATTTTTATTTTCGAAAGCGCCGTCTCTTTCCTTGATTTCCCTCCCCCCAAGGAAAGGAAACATTTTAGGTGGCGAGAATCTTTTCCGGAAGTGGGAACAATATGGTGGTGTGACAGTAGCTGCTCTGATTTTCTTGATCATTTCTTTTTCTTTTAAGAGATTTAAGCAAAGATGTCTGAATATATTCGGGTAACAGAAGATGAGAACGATGAGCCCATTGAAATACCATCAGAAGACGATGGGACAGTGTTGCTGTCCACAGTTACAGCCCAGTTTCCAGGGGCTTGTGGCCTGCGCTACCGGAATCCAGTGTCTCAGTGTATGAGAGGCGTCAGATTGGTGGAAGGAATTCTGCATGCCCCTGATGCTGGCTGGGGCAATCTGGTATATGTTGTCAACTATCCCAAAGGTTTGTTAACCATTTTGGTTTTGCCATATTGCTGGTTAGGATTAGACTAGTCCATTAGAATAGTCTATTGTTGAGCTCCAACCCTGGGGGGTTGACCTTCCTGGAGGAATGTCTCCTAGGACCCTGCCTTTCATAAACTGCTTTGACTTGGACTGCTCTGGCAGGTCAGCAGTTTAAATAAGTGAAAGTTGAAAACCAGGATTCTTTTTCAAGGAGCATCTATTTAAATGTTAAGCCTTCAGAACATAGTCATTGCCAATTTTAGGGGTTAAAACTAAATGCCTTAAAGATCCATCTGTTCTGTAAAAGAATTTGCCTTAGCCGTTTTCCTTGCAGTCTTTTTGGTTTTTTGAAGTGAGGTTTCTCAGTCTTAAAGCTCACTGTAGCTGAAGTTGAACTCAGATCTGCCAAGTGCTGGGGTTAAAGATGTGTGCCACCACTGCCCAGCTTTTCCTTGCGGCCTTAACATCATCTTTGTCTTATCGTTGTAATTATGTGTTTTATTATGTGTAAAATTTATATTTTGTATGTTATATTAACACTTTGTATGTGTGTCTCTCTGCACTATGTGCACACTTGATGCAAAAGGGCATCTGACCTTCTGAAACCAAAGAACAGATGCTTTTAACTCCAGTGTTCTTAATCTTTTTTCATCCTAAAAAGATACCAACTGCACTAGTCCAAATCTTGAGTTAGTACAGAACTATTAAAATTTTTCTCTATTTTTTGCTACTGGTCTTGAAAGTGTGAGAAAGCTGTGTCTGGTGGTGCACTTCTTTGATTCTGGCATTGTAGAGGCGGAGGAAAGTGGATTGAGGACAGCCAGGGCTACAACAGAGACACTGTATTGGGGATGGGGAGATATGAATGCATGTGAATCAGTAAATTGTTATTTTTACTATGGTGGTGCTGCAGCAGAGTCCTTCCTGTGCCTGTAATCCCAGCATTGGGGGCTAAGACAGAAGGGTTTGTGAGTTTGAGGCCAGACTGGGGTATAGAATGAGTTCAAGGCCAGCCTGATTTATATATAGCAGAGAACCGAGAACAGTCCACCAAGTTTGATCAGTATGCAATAAGAAATTCGAGAGTATTTAAAGATAGGGTCATTGGCTGTATAGCTCAGTGTTTACCCTCAATTAAAGGGACACTGGTGTTAGTACATGCTTGAAATTGAAAATCAGAAAGCTCACGAAAGAGGAACTCAAATATGAAGACTGGTGGCTATAAAGTAAGGTAGGTGCTAGGTTAAAATGAACAGGGGCTGAGGGTTAGAACTCAGGTAGATTGTTATGTAGAGAAAATCTCTTGTGTGTTGTGTGGATGAAACACCTATCAATTAAGGCTGATTGGCCTGTAGCTGAGGCAGGAAGTAGAAGACGGGACATCCAACAGGGAAAAGAATTTAGAGATACAGAAGGCACAAGAGAGGGTTGGGTGCCCATAAACAGGAAGGACCTGAGCATGGAACATGAGCAGAACTTAGAAAAAAAATGGTGTTACTAAATTATAATTATAAACCAATCAGGGGACAGCCAAAGCTTAGGTATTTGTAATGTTTTGGGTCTCAAGATATTCCAGGAGAGCCGGGCGGTGGTGGCGCACGCCTTTAATCCCAGCACTTGGGGAGGCAGAGGCAGGCGGATTTCTGAGTTCGAGGCCAGCCAGGGCTACACAGAGAAACTCTGTCTCGAAAACCAAAAAAAAAAAAAGAAGAAAGAAAGAAATTTATACACATACATGTCAGAGAGTTGTAGTCCTCGATGTATATTTTTTTAATACCACAAAATTAAATGTAGAATTGTTCTTATTTTCCTGCAGCTTTTGAGAAAGAGAACATGTGGTTGATTATGGTCTTGTATAGTTTCAAAACCTGATCCAGTAGAAACACTTGCAGAGCAGATCTGACAACCTTATCATAAAAGGCGCAATGCTGTTAAACAAGCTCACAGGCCAGCTAGTCAAGGGAAGGTTGTGCAGTACCAGGAATAATGAAACAGACCCTGCCTAACAGGACGGAAGACAGAACATGCTTACAAATGTCCTCTACACTCCACACATTCCACTATGTATGAAAAATCAGTTTTCAGAAAGATTCATAACTAGAATTGGGGGTACCTATGATTTGTGCCGGGAAATCACTCCAGCCACTTCAGCTTGATTCTGTCCTTAAGAGACCGAAGTTTTCAGTGTCTTTACTGTTTATAGATCTGATCTTGTTTTACTTTTTAATTTCTTAGATAAGATAGTGTGTGTCCATGAGTTTGGTTTTATTTTTTGAGACATGATTTCTCTGTGTAGCCCTGGCCATTCTGGAACTTTGTAAACCAGACTGACCTTGAACTTGGGGTTTGCCTGCCTTGTTATCGCCTGGCCTTGGTGTCCCCACCACCACCACCCCCAGGCAGGATCTATCTGGCCTTGATCTGCCAAATGTTTTTCTGTGTGTTGCTATAGCTGTCCTGGAACTCATTCTATAAACAGGGCTGAGCTTGAACTCCCAGATCCACCTGCCTCTGCCTCCTGGAGAAGTGCTAAACACTTTTTGTTTGTGTTTTTGCTTTGTTCAGATAACAAAAGGAAAATGGATGAGACCGATGCTTCCTCTGCAGTGAAAGTGAAAAGAGCAGTCCAGAAAACGTCTGACCTCATAGTGTTGGGTCTTCCCTGGAAAACAACAGAACAGGATCTTAAAGACTATTTCAGTACCTTTGGAGAGGTTCTTATGGTTCAGGTAAACTTTATTCTGCTTTACAGGTTTTCTATTTGTATGCATGTTTTGCTTGATTGTGTCTTGTGTATGTACGTGTCCTTGGAGGTCAAGAGAGCTTGTACCACCGTGTGGGTGCTGGGAACCAAAAACATTGCTCCTAATCACTGAGCCATCTCTCCCCCCCCCCCCCCCAAAAAAAAAAAACACTGTTCTTTACCCAGGAATGAGCACTGGGATTACTTGTTTTGCCATCTTTTTGTTTTCTTTGTTTCTGTGTGGCCCTGTCTGATCAAGAACTGCCTCTGCTTCCTTAGTGCTGGGATTAAAGGCATGTACCACCACTGCCTGGCTCTGTGCAGCCATTTTTTTTCTTTTTAATGTGCATTGATGTTTTGCCTGTGTATGTGTCTGGGTGAGTGTGTCAGATTTTGGAGTTAGAGACAGTTGTGAACTGCCATGTGGGTGCTGGGAATTGAACATGAGTCCTCTGGAAGAATAATTCAGTGCTCTGGAAGAATAATTCGGCTAAAGCAGTGGTTTTCAGATAACTCTTTCACTGGGGTTTATGTCAGATAAATATCAGATGTTTATATTGTATTTCATGACAGTATCAAAATTACAGTTATAAATAACAATGGAGGTCACTACAACAGAAAGAATTGTATTTAAAGGATTACAGCATTAGGAACATTAAGAACCACTGCTTTGCTGGGCAGTGGTGGCGCAAGCCTTTAATCCCAGCACTTGGGAGGCAGAGGCAGGCGGATTTCTGAATCCGAGGCCAGCCTGGTCTACAGGGTGAGTTCCAGGACAGCCAGGGCTACATTGAGAAGCCCTGTCTCGAAAAACAAAAAAAAAAAACAAAAGGAAAAAAAAGAAGCACTGCTTTAAAAGGAAGTAGGTTATATTAGATGTATATTAATGGAAGGTTTTTCTTTGCCCATGTTAAATTGTAACCAAACTTGTGCTCATTTTAAAACATTTTTATGCAATCTTTTGTGTTGTGCAAGTGAGTCATTCTCTGCTTCCTATTAGGGATCTGTTGATTTTACCTTGAACTAACTGGACTAAGCTTACTAACTAAGCTAGTACATTCAGTTGAGCCATTCAGATCAGATTATTTTTTCCTTTGAGAGACAACTCTGATTTGCTGTATGTATGGTGTTAGAAAATTTTTCAATTGTTTCTTCTTAGGTCAAGAAAGATCTTAAAACTGGTCACTCGAAAGGGTTTGGCTTTGTTCGATTTACGGAATATGAAACCCAAGTGAAAGTAATGTCACAACGACATATGATAGACGGGCGATGGTGTGACTGTAAACTTCCGAATTCTAAGGTATTTTGCTCTGCATTTTGTTTTGTCTTGGTTTTTGAGACAGGGTTTCTCTGTGTAGCCCTGGTTGTCCTGGAACTCACTCTGTAGACCAGACTGACCTCAGTTCCCCTGCCTCTACCTTTCACGTGTTGAGATTTAAGGCATGAGCTATTACACCCTACCAGATCCAAGTTGTTGTTGTTGTTGCTTTTTAAGAGTTGGGTGTAATAGCATGTACTTGTAATCCTACCCCTGGAGATGGGGAAGCAGGTGTATCCTTGGAGCTTGCTGCCCACCAGTCTATAGCCAAATTCCAAGGTTCAGTGAGAAATCCAGCTTTAAAAAAGAGGAAGGTGGGGGTGATGTGATCAGCCTCGATCCTGTATGTATCATGGTTTCTCAATGTGTAAAACAGGTTAAAACTGGACAGTGTTACATTCCTGTAATTCTCACATGAGAGATAGTAATGGGGATCAGGGGTTCAAGATTGCTCTCACATGTTGAGTTTAAGGCCATTCTGGGGCACATGGGAACCCCAGAATCTTTGAAGTTCCCAAGGAAATGAGGCAGGGGAAAGGTGTCTGGGTGGCAAATAGTATTTGTTGCTCTTGGAGAAGACTGCACACAACTAACTCCAGTTCTGAGTGACCATCTCCTCTGACTCTAAAAGGCATTAGGCATGCACTGGGTACAGATAGGTGCATAAAGGCAAAACACTTACTTCCAGGAAACCAGTCTTGTCAGTATACACCTTTAGTCTCAACACCAGGGTTTGGGTACAGGGCAGGCAGTGATACACAGTAAGACCTTGTCTTTAGAAACAAAAACACCCATGGGGGGTGCAGGGGGGTATAGAATATGCATTGATGTGTTTGCTATTTCTCCTCTTCCTTCTTTTGACCACCAGCAAAGCCCAGATGAGCCTTTGAGAAGCAGAAAGGTGTTTGTTGGTCGCTGTACAGAGGACATGACTGCAGAGGAGCTTCAGCAGTTCTTCTGTCAGTATGGAGAGGTGGTGGATGTCTTCATCCCCAAACCCTTCAGAGCCTTTGCCTTCGTTACCTTTGCAGATGATAAGGTATTCATTCTTCCTCTGAATTGGTTCCAGGGCTGGGAATGTGTCTGGTTTAGTGCTACTGTATGTGCCCGGCACGGTACACCAGGTGCTGAACTCAGTCTCCAGCACTAAAAATGAGTGCTTTGTTCCAGCTGATTGCCAACCTCCCTTTCCCAGGAGAGAGTAGGTTTAGATAGTAGCCAGATAACCCTGGGGTTTTTCATTATTTGGACTGTGGTGCTGTTACAACGTATCTTTTAAGCTACAAACCCTGCTGATTACTATACTACTGTAGGTGATTGGGTTTAAGGGACAGGAGCATTAGTTGCCTATGTAACTCCTACTCAGTTGGATTCTTTTATTGCTGTGTTTGGTGTCTGAGTTGGTGGTCTAATCATACATCCTTGTTTCTTGTAGGTTGCCCAGTCTCTTTGTGGAGAGGACTTGATCATTAAAGGAATCAGCGTGCATATATCCAATGCTGAACCTAAGCATAATAGCAATAGACAGTTAGAAAGAAGTGGAAGATTTGGTGGTAATCCAGGTGGCTTTGGGAATCAGGGTGGGTTTGGTAACAGTAGAGGGGGTGGAGCTGGCTTGGGAAATAACCAGGGTGGTAATATGGGCGGAGGGATGAACTTTGGTGCTTTTAGCATTAACCCAGCGATGATGGCTGCAGCTCAGGCAGCATTGCAGAGCAGTTGGGGTATGATGGGCATGTTAGCCAGCCAGCAGAACCAGTCTGGCCCATCTGGGAATAACCAAAGCCAGGGCAGCATGCAGAGGGAGCCAAATCAAGCTTTTGGTTCTGGAAATAATTCCTACAGCGGTTCTAATTCTGGTGCCCCCCTTGGTTGGGGGTCAGCATCAAATGCAGGATCAGGCAGTGGTTTTAATGGAGGCTTTGGCTCAAGCATGGATTCTAAATCCTCTGGCTGGGGAATGTAGGCGGTGGGGGTGGTTAGTAGGTTGGTTGCTAGGTTAGGTAGGTTTAGAATGGTGGGATTCAAATTTTTCTAAACTCATGGTAAGTATATTGTAAAATACATATGTACTAAAATTTTCAGATTGGTTTGTTCAGTGTGGAGTATATTCAGCAGTATTTTTGACATTTTTCTTTAGAAAAAAAGAGGGAAAAGCTAAATGAATTTTATAAGTTTTGTTATATAAAGGGTTAAAATACTGAGTGGGTGAAAGTGAACTGCTGTTTGCCTAAGTGGTAAACCAACACTACAATTGATCTCAGAAGGTTTCTCTGTAATATTCTATCATTGGAATTGTTAATGAATTCTTTGCATGTTCAGAGTAGAAACCATTGGTTAGAACTACATTCTTTTCTCCTTATTTTAATTTGAATCCCACCCTATGAATTTTTTCCTTAGGAAAATCTCCATTTGGGAGATCATGATGTCATGGTGTTTGGTTCTTTTGGTTTTGTTTTTAACACTTGTCTTCCTTCATATACGAAAGTACAATATGAAGCCTTCATTTAATCTCTGCAGTTCATCTCATTTCAAATGTTTATGGAAGAAGCACTTCATTGAAAGTAGTGCTGTAAATATTCTGCCATAGGAATACTTCTGTCTACATGCTTTCTCATCCAAGAATTCGTCATCACGCTGCACAGGCTGCGTCTTTGACGGTGGGTGTTCCATTTTTATCCGCTACTCTTTATTTCATGGAGTCGTATCAACGCTATGAACGCAAGGCTGTGATATGGAACCAGAAGGCTGTTTGAACTTTTGAAACCTTGTGTGGGATTGATGGTGGTGCCGAGGCATGAAAGGCTAGTATGAGCGAGAAAAGGAGAGCGCGTGCAGAGACTTGGTGGTGGAAAATGGATATTTTTTAACTTGGAGAGATGTGTCCCTCGATCCTGTGGCTTTGGTGAGAGCGTGTGCAGAGAGCAATGATAGCCAATAACGTACGAATGTTTTTGCATCAAAGGACATCCACGTCTGTTGGAAGACTTTGAGTTTTGTTCTTAGGAAACCCACATTAGTTGAATGTGTTAAGTGAAATACTTGTACTTCCCTCCCCCTCTGTCAACTGCTGTGAATGCTGTATGGTGTGTGTTCTCCTCTGTTACTGATCTGGAAGTGTGGGAACGTGAACTGAAGCTGATGGGCTGCGAACATGGACTGAGCTTGTGGTGTGCTTTGCAGGAGAACTTGGAAGCAGAGTTCACCAGTGAGCTCAGGTGTCTCAAAGAAGGGTGGAAGTTCTCATGTCTGTTAGCTATTCATAAGAATGCTGTTTGCTGCAGTTCTGTGTCCTGTGCTTGGATGCTTTTTTATAAGAGTTGTCATTGTTGGAAATTCTTAAATAAAACTGATTTAAATAATATGTGTCTTTGTTTTGCAGCCCTGAATGCAAAGAATTCATAGCAGTTAATTCCCCTTTTTGACCCTTTTGAGATGGAACTTTCATAAAGTTTCTTGGCAGTAGTTTATTTTGCTTCAAATAAACTTATTTGAAAAGTTGTCTCAAGTCACATGGATTCATCACCTGTCATGTATTGACACCTGATAGATACCCAGACTTAATTGCTATTTGTTCTTGCATTGTCCAAAGTGAAAGTTTTTCTTTGGGTTATTTTGTTTTTAATCTAGTTTTTTTAAGTCCGGGTGACCGCACCTAAAATGGTAAGCAGTTACCCTCCAGCTTGTTCTGAGTGCCTCTGTGCATTTGAGTGATTTTCTATTTACATGGCTGTGTAAATCTCCATTGGGGAATCATGCCTTTTAAAAATACTATTTGGGAGAGGGGGCAAAACAGTTGTTTCCAAATGCTTTGTAGCGGAGCATATCAATGGAAAAAGAAGGGATAAGCCCCTTTCTGTTTGGGGTTTGAAAAAGTGGAATTAATTGCAATAGGGGTGAAGTAGAAGAAACCAAGAAACCATGTGCCTGAAATCCATTAAGAAGCCTGATAGCTTTAAGAACTAGTAGGGTGGGTGGTCTTCTCTGTGGCAGTCTTGAGTGAGGTAGGCTTTTGCCCTCCTAATGGGCTATGTAGTGATGAATAAATATGCTCACAAAATCAGATTAGACTGTCAATGCATTGTTAAGAATGTAAAAGCAATAATACATTGATTATTGTACTTTTTCTGTAACTACTGGGGACTGAAGAGCTCTTTTTCTAACTGGAAGAATGTGACAGTTTTTGTGTTGGTAGTTTCCCTAATGCCCTTACCTACATAGATTATGATAAATAGGTTTGTCATTTTGCAAGTTGCGTGTTTTAAAATTTTATATCCTTTAGAGACTTGTTATGAACACATTGTTTCATTATACAGTATCCTCTGTAAAAGGATCGTGAGTTATTGTAAATTTTTTTCTCTGCATCTAAGCCTGCATGATTTCCAAACCCTGTACATCTGAATTTTGCATTTTAGCACTTGCACTATTACTCAGCAGCAGTAACATGGTAACATTAAAATGGTTTTCGGGGACCTCCAAAGACTAAAACTGGCAAGCCGTCCAGGAGTCCTGGGGTAAGTTACTTGTCAATGGCATGGTTTTGATCCCTTCCTTGCACTTGTTAAAAGACTTACTGGCCATAGAAGGCTTTCAGTGTTGAGTAGCCTTTTAACCTGTTTATGGTATGACATAGCTGTAGATAGTTACTTGCCGTAAATCAAGTTTTAGAAATAAACTACTTGGCAAAGATTTGTTTTTGAAAGTCTGGTCATCAACGCGTTCATTCCGTAATAGTAATAATGAAAAACATTTCTTTGAACCACAGTTGAATAAAAGGTTTTCTTGCCACCAACAGTTTAGTGTCTGGAGTCTTACTGGAAAAAAATAAAAACCTTTCTATATCATGACAATGCTGGAAGTTAAAGTGACTCTGGGAAGATGCAGTACAGCATTTTCATCCTTTGAAATGTGAGTCTCCAGCTGGGTGTGGTGGCCCATGCTTTTAATCCAGGAATTTGAGGCAGGTGCAAGTGAATTGTAGGCCAGCAGCCATTGCTCCATCGGGGGGCCCTGTTTTAAAAACTTGTTAGACGTGCCAAGTAAAATCAAAAATGACATTTAAGGTTAAGTCAGCGTCTCAGCAGGAGAACAGTTTATTTCATGATGAATTGCTGTTTTTGTTACATAAGAGAATGACTCTACTATGTAGAGTTATGTCTGGCTTCCCTGTACCCAAGTAGTTCGTGAGCAACTAAGAAAAGTGGGCTGGGTATAGTGGAATACCTGGTCAGGTTTTTGAAATGGATTGCTAATTTGTCCTTTTAAAGAGTAAAATACTGTATCATGGGTTTTAATTTGTTTCAGTTTGCTGAATGTGGGAGAACACGCCTATAATCCCAGTATTCTGTAATGGACTTGGTTGTTTTTAATAGCTGGTCTACTGATGTAAAAGTCAAAACACCTGCTTTCAGTTTACCTTCCAAAAGAGAAGTGACTTTCTCAGGTATTCTGGAACCAGTACTGCTACACTCTGTTAGAGCACTTTCTGAGCCCATTAAAGAGCAAATCTACACACTAGGAAAATCACCAAGCCCATTGTTGGCCAGAAATGGGAACAGCCAGTATGAAATTAGACTGTAGGGAATCAAATACAGCTTGACATAGTCTGTGTGGGGTTGGCAAAGCACTGCTCTTTTGAACAGCACAAATCAAAGCTGACATTGTCAAGTGTCCTGTACCTGTAATGATCTTATCTGCTTTGATTTGGGGTAGGCTGTAATTCATCTCGGGTTTACCACTAGGCTTCCCGTGTACTTGTAGAAATAAGGAACAATGTACTGATTGGAGGATGCAAATTAGAAATTACTTGTTATGTTCTCAATCCAGGGAATATAGTTTATGACTTTTGTGTAGACCCCATACTGGTTTGCCTCCCCACAATAAATGGAACCCCAGGAAACTATTCCTCCCACAAACCATCGTTGTGTTTCACTATCTAGAAACACTAATGCCCCTCCACTGTCACCTCTGCAGCTGTCCTTGCCACCGGTTTCTAAGCCTGCACAGAGCATGTTAGCAGTTACTCTTGCTTCTGGGAGGAGCTGCTTTTCATACGCAGCAGTACATTTTTGGTGGTCAACAATTGGTATGTCCACAAACATTAGGTGTCTAGCAAGAAACCCCTTCTTGGTTAACCCCCAGCCAGCCACAGTTCCAGTTCTCATTAAGGATGCAGCTTCTTTCCTTGGTAGGCAAACAGGTGTGATGTTTCTGTTGATTGTGACTTTGTTCTTGAGTTTAATCAGTGCTATGTCGTTGTCATAACCAGCACCGTGAGTGTAACCTTCATGTATAAAGACAGCCTCTGGCCAGGCTTGAGTGTAGTGAGGCGAGAGCCTTTTGAGGAGACCCATCCGGATGTCCAGGGAGGACACTGCCTCTGTGTTCCCATAGACAGCATGAGCAGCTGTTAGGACCCAGTTGTCATGTATAAGTGCACCTGATGCTGTAGTTTGACCCAGTAACAAGACTTGCCAAGGAAAGTCGCCAGGCTTTGCAGGCTTGCCTCCAACTATACGTCCTCCTATAGTGTGTGTGGACAGCCCACAAACTGAGGAAAAAACAAGTACTTAGTGTCAGCCAAAACTTACATCCTACAAGTTGATAGCCATCCTCCACGTTGGCAGGGGAGGGGGGGGGGAGGCCCTTCTAAATAGTATATAAAGACCTCCAAAGTCCTTGCTAGTCTGCTAAGCTCCTTGTAAGAGACTTCGGATTGTTAGGTTTTGTTAAAACAAGATGATGGAGTCTATAGACAGGACTTGCGTGCTGGACATGACCCTGCCTGGAGCCAAAGGGCAGACCCCCTCACCACACCCTGCACTGCTTGTCTTACTTTTTTAGAGCTTACTAGGAATTGTGGGAAAACAGGAACTATGATTTACAAAATCCCTGTTGACTGTACATATAACAGTCTACATTGCAGTGTTGCAGCAATAGCCAAGGTGCTTCTGGTTCCAGAGTTGGTGATTTTGGTCTGGTTGAGTCATCCAAACAGTGTTAGCGTTCATTGCAAGCTGAGTGCTCAGGAGTGCAACATCCGCTCCTTACTGGGCTTGTGCACTGTGATTAAAACTTAGAAGCAGCATGTCAGCCAAATCCAGGGCTAGGAAACTAATTGAAACGAGCTAACACAGGGGTAATGAGTGTATTATTACCTTTCAATTAAAAAAAGCATTCTCAACTATTGGAGCCAATTCTGGTAAAGAAATTTAAGTACTATTAAAAGGCAAATTGCATTAATGTTTAAAAATCTAGATGTCATTGAAAACAATTGCTTAGGGAAATAATGAAGTTATTAGCTTTGGGGTTTAATAGCATTTTTACAGAGAAGAAAAGTAACAAGAGTTCGTGGTTATAAATGTATAATGGTTTGAGATAATTTAAGAAATGATTTAATTTTTTATGCTTGCCTAGTTATGAGGTCAGAAACAATCCAGTGCACATGATGCAGTCCGCACCTACCTTCCGTGTGGGAGGAGTACTGTGAGCTCACTGCTGGGGAGCAGTGAGCCAGCCTAGGCCAAGTGCTGGCCTTCCTTTCTGCCTCCCCAGCTAGACCTGCCTATTGTCTGCCAGCTACTCTCTGCCAGCTATGAATCTCTTTTATAAGTGCGTCCATTACCAGGCTCACAAACCGGGAGGGATTTTTCTCCTTTGGAGCTCGTCCAGAATCCATCAGCTTCACATACATATTTACCTGCAAATCATTGGAAAAGCAAAAATGTTTAGCTGCAGTTGTCATTTGCTTGAATAACCCCTTGAAAAATGTTGATTCTTGAGCATCCGTGGTGGGGAGAGGTGTGTGTGAATAACCATTTTACATGATTTCATAAATAGGTATCTGCATTACCATGTTTGCTTGCAAAGTGGAAACCTTTTAGATGTGTAACTTGAATATGTATCAAGATCTCAAGTGCTTAATGATAAGGTTTTGACTTGTTAAATTAAACCATTTGGAATATATTGTGTGTTTGTAGTAGTCATTTACTAGATATGATCTGTTTTCAGATTCCTGCAAATTGACATTAAAGTCACTTTAACTGTAATATTTCACTTAGCACATGGGAGAAAAGCCTTTTAATCCGTTGTCTCCTTTAGCCTAAAAGGCTGGTTCAAGTTTATAATCAGCCATGAGGGCTCAAGTTCCGAATACCACCCGTCCCTCCTTGAAGAAGGTACTTACCATTGCTGCTCACTGTGTAGAAAGTCTCTTCACATCTGTACTGAATCACAGCTCTGTAGGTGGTCACTTCGGGGCCTGTGATGTAGTCCACGTGGCCATTGAGTAGGTCATCGGGAGGACCACAGTCAATAACTAGGAAGGAAATGAAGGGGGGGGTCCCTTTGTACCTTGGAGCTGGTACTAGAAAGGTCTGTACAGTGGAGATAGTGGCTTCGTGGGGAACTTGGATAGCACAAGTGAAGCCCCACCCCCTAGTGTGCTCTCTGACCAATAAGCTTGGGGAGCCAGGTGGGCCTTGTGCTTGCCTCGGTTTCCTCTACATACTCCATGGCACTAATGACACCCACCCCTAAAAACGGCAAGAATAACTTAGCTTGGAGAAGAGGCATCACACCTGCTCTTTTCTGAAGGAACTTCCCTGGAGAGAAGTGACTGGCCTCACCAGAGCAGTGAATTCAGAAGCTTTGGACTAGAGTAACACTCAAAAGAAATGGCATGCAGGAGAACATGGGAGAAAAGCCAGTAGCAAACTTGTTTCTATGATCCTTTACACAACTTGGGCTCTGTACAGACTCTGAGGCATGTTGATTTGTTCTGGGTTTTTGCTTTCAGTTTGTTTTTTGAGACAATCTATAACTGGCTGTTCTGGAACTCACTCTGCAGTTCTACCTGGCTCAGATTATTGTTTCTGTTGTGGCAGCTCTGCTGTGCAACAGGTAAAATAGCAGCTGTCCAGCCCCAGTGGCGGAATCAGACCCAGACTACTGATTACCCCCACACTGTCAAAATCAGCTCAGGCATTTTACACTGAAAGAACTAGTAAATTGATGAGAAGTAAATTTGTAAAAATATTTCAATCCTTGGAGTTGTTTTACAGAAGTACTGCACAGTATAACCTATTTGCACAGTCAAAGGTGTGTGCTAGCACACAACGGGAAGTGCCTCCTGAGTGCCAGGCATGTGAGACCACTAAGCAGGACTTTAATGGTAGTGTGTGGAGATGGATAAGAGGATTTCATTGTCTGGTTCTGGAAGTTCCTGTTTTCACATACGTATACTTGTAGTTGAAGGAGTACTAAGTTGTTCTTGAGAAATTCCTATTCTTAGTTTTCAAAATGCTAATGTATGTTATTATCCTTGTACATGTGGTAGGCAGGTGTGTACACTGCAGAACTACCTCTCCCCACACTGGTGGCCTGCGTGTGCATGCTCACAGGTGGAGGCTCTGAGCTGGAGAGAAGCCTACACAGCAGCATGTTTTCCTATGGGATGATAGGAATTAAAATACAGTTTTCCCCCTACATTTCTTGTCCAAAAGGAGTATCCACTCTTAGAAATTATTTCCCCAGTACTTGTGGAACTCACGCCCTAAGAAGTGAGTTCATTTGGCGGTGTAAGTGGGAATGACTAAAGCCACAGAGTTGTTAATGGGGGTCTGGGGAGATTTCTCAATGGGAAAGTGCTTGCTTTGTGAGCATAGGTACCTGGGTTCAGGTCCCCAGAGCCCGGACTTGGCAATGTGCCTTTTATCTTAAGATCCTTGGGGCTGGTAAAACAGAATGTCAGGTGCCTCCTAACCCAGTGGTTCTCAACCTGTGACTGCTGAAAACAAATTTTACATTACAGTTCATAAAAGCAGAATCACAGTTACAAAACAGCAACTAAAGTTGAATGGTTGGGGGTCACTACAATGTGAACTATATTGAAGGTTACAGCATTAGGAAGGTTGAGAACCACTGCTCTAACCCCTGTGTGCACACATGAAGGGTCAACACAAATGGTACAGGCAGCAGCAAGGAGAGGGGATTGTCACCATATGACCATACTGCTGCACTCTGGCATCGGCTGGTCCCAAGATCCATCTTTCTGACAGACAGCAGTGAATGATTTCAGGGGGACAGAACCCTGAAGAGGAAATGAAGAAAATGAGGTCCCTGTTAACATCATGTCACTCCCCCAGAACAGCGCTCCCAAGGCAGGGCAACAAACCATGGAAGGCCTACACTTGGACCTGTGACCCAGCCACCTTGCTTAGTAGTTTTGCAACAAACAGCCCTGCTGGTTTATGTCACCTGTACCATTTACTTCTGTTTTGACTGGTGGCCTTTTATACAAAGTACTGCAATACTACTTTCCAACACATAGGAAAACATGATGTCTGGCTGAAAGTTCTTGTTAGTGTTTTCTTATTTGTTTCCTCCTTCTGAGGGTAAGGGGTTAGCTCCAGAACCTTCCACCATTTATTTTTATGAAGCTCTGCTGCCCTGGAACTCTGTATCTGTTAAAATGCAGCCTTGAATCTCTTGAAACTGGGATTCAAGTTGTAAGCTACCATGTGTGCTCTGGGAATAGAACCAGTCCTTGCAAAAATAGCAAGTGTGTTTAGGCACTGAGTCATTTCTCCGGCCCTTTCCACCATTTCTTTATGCAAAGTGCAAAAGAGGGCCAGTGAAATAGCTTTGTAGAAAAGGGAAGTGGTTGCCTGCCAAGCCCGAACAAGCTGAGCTGGGTACCTGGAGCATACATGGCAAAGAGAGAGCTAGAAGCTGTCCTCTGGCCTCCACACGCTGGTAACTTTTTCAAAAGTGCTAAGAGAAGCCCAGCATGTTGACAGTGCCAGTGACCTCAACACTCGTAGAGGGAGAGGTTCAAGGCTGGCCTGGTCTATACAGAGAAACCCTTTCTCAACAGTACCCCCCACCCCAAAAGAAAAAGTACCAGTGTTTGAAAAAAAAAAAACTGCAAGATCAGTTACTAAAGTCAAACATTAAACCAAGTGTGGTGGTATACACCTTAAACCAAGCATGTGGGTCTCTGAGTTTGAGGTCAGCCTGGTTTGCATAGTCCCAAGAGAGAAAGCATTAATGGAAGAGGGAGCCGTTTGCAAGGGCTGTAATGTTTCAGAGGACGTAAAGAATACGTCACTAGCATCCAGAAAGTCCTGGGTTTGATCCAAAGCACCACAGAACTTGAGTGTGATGACACATACATTATACATTAATATCTGTACTTGGGAAGCAAGAGGATCAGAACAAGGTCATGCTCAGCTATAACAGTAAGTACAAGGCCAACAATGAAGCTGTTTCAAAACAAGTTTGTGGGCTTGCAATCTATGGAACAGAAGAAAAGGGCCCGAACAGGAGTTTTGCAGGTGGGACTCTGATTTGACCCTCCATGGGCTAGACTCCATCCTTCGCTGTCATTCCAGGGTTATTACTTTCCACCACTGGGATTCAGTGACAATTTTGAAGAACACAAAGACGAGTTAATCTCTTACCTGTGCTCCTGAAGCAACACGCTAAGCAGTTTTTAAAATTATATTCCCTCTCCCTTAACAGTGAGCACTATTTATAACTTTGCAGAATATACTCTTTCCAGGGCTGTCTAATCTTTGTGGGCTCAGGAGCTGTTCCATGGGAAGGTCGTCAACTGACCAGGGAAGACTTAATTTAAAAGGAGGAGCTATGCAGCTCATGGGGCAAGGCAAGCGAGTACACTCCTTTCTGTTGTTTCAGCCACTTTGCAGAGAGCTGCTGCAGTGTGCAGATGATCAGAAGTTCTTTGTAATGACTATCCCTCTTAAGAGTGGTTGGTTAGGACAGACGGGTGTTGAGGTGCTGTCTGAGTGTAGTGCACTTAGCGTGGCTGAGTAGTTCAGCACCAAAAGTAGAGCTTTGAGCCGCGTGTGACCATGTAAACCTACAGTTCCAGCATTGGAGAGGCTGAAGCAGGAAGTCATGAGTTCAAGGTCACCCTGGGCTACATCTTAAATTTCTGTCTTAAAATAACAGCTGGTGTGATGGTGCACACACCTTTAATCCCAGCACTTGGGAGGCAGAGGAGGCAGATGAGTCTCTTGAGTTTGAGGTCAGCCTGGTGTACAGAGGGAGTCCCGGGACACCCAGAGTTACACAGAGAAACCCTTGACTCAAAAAACAATGATAGGTGGCTGGAGAGATGGTTCAGTGGTTAAGAGCACTGACTGCTCTTCCAGAGGTCCTAAGCTCAATCCCAGCAACCACATGGTGGCTCACAACCATCTGTAATGGGATCTGATGCCCTCTTGTGTGTCTGAAGACAGCTACTATGTACTCATCACATATAAAAAAAATCTTAAAGAAAAAAGAAGACCCTCCTCTCCCTTGCACACACAGACTCCTCCATGGTCGTTTCCCTTTGGTTTCTGCACGCTTACTACTTTGATTTTCTTTTTCTGCATAGGTGCTTCCTGTTTTCATCTCTCATCTCAAAACCGTCTTGATCATAGGCACTTAGTTTTTTAGTAACTCACTTGCAGAAGCTCAAAGCCAGTCTTGCAGAAGACAGAAAAGCTGTCCGTCATGACATAGGTGGCTTGCACAGGTGAAATGTAGCCATTAGGTGGCGCCGTTGGATCAGGACAGGGCGGTGCTGTGCAGAGGAAACAGGCTTATTGTTTCTAACAGCCAAATCTGAAGTTAGCAATCTGCAGTTTTAGTTTAAAAGTGAAACGAGCCAGCGGGAGCCTGCCTCAAGTATGATGGTCGTCCAAACATTTAACACCAAATGCAAAAGTAAGCTGAATCACTCGCACAAATGTAGACTGGAGTCTTCCGGGGTATGGTGGCATACACTTTTGGTCCCAGTACTTGAGAAGCAAAAGCAAGTAGACCTCTTTGGAGTTTGGGACCAGCCTGGGCTACAAAGTGAGCTCAAGGACAGCCAGGGCTGTTGTACAGAAAAGCTCTGTTTTGAAACCACTACCACCCTGTCTCTCCCCCAAAAAATCAGATATCCAGAATGATGGAATTTTTTCTACCAGGAAGATGATACATGTGGTTTGAAGCCAAGAGTGTCACTTCTAGGAAAAGAGCAAGACAGATCGAGTGACAATGTTGGGTGTCTCGTTCTCCACCCCCAGCCCCATCTTACTATACTAAGTGCTTGCCTCAAAGGCTGTGGCACAGTGAGACCACTTTTCTCCTCTAGATTGAGAGCAGATGCTGTAGGGAGCCCTGGCCTCTGCATTTAGTATTTTTGACACACTTTTTTTGTGTGTTTGTTTGTTTGTTTGTTTGTTTTTCTTTTTTCTTTCTTTTTTTGTGTTTTTTTCGAGACAGGGTTTCTCTGTGTAGCCCTGGCTGTCCTGGAACTCACCCTGTAGACCAGGCTGGCCTCAAACTCAGAAATCCACCTGCCTCTGCCTCCCAAGTGCTGGGTTTAAAGGCGTGAGCCACCACTGCCCAGCTTTGTTTTTGTTTTGTTTGTTTGTTTTTTTGGTTTTTTGTACTTGTTTTAAATCTGAAATTGAGCACAGAGTCTTTGCATGCTGGACAGGCTGGCTCACTTCACCCTTCTTAGAACGTATCTGTGAAGAGTGAGGACAGGTGGGGAAATAGCTGTCTGGGCCGGTGGGTTCTGAGGGATGACACAGAAGGGTGCATGGGCCTGTGATCCCAGCACTTGGGCTGAGACAGGAAGATCAGAGCTTAAGACCAGCTAGTGCTATAAAACAAGTTAGGAACCAACTGACCTATAGACGTAGACCATAACTCACAATACCAGAGTTGAGTAGAGAGGGAGGTTGCTTAGGTAAACGGCTGGCTGCGTAAAGAGAATGGAAGGAGGAAGGGAAGACGGTTGCTATTTCCTGTCAGAGACCATCACTTGCTAACCCACCCTGCTCAATCTGGGTTCCCTTCCTAGGCAAGCCGGGAAAACGCCCAATGCTATGTAAAGTGTTGCTATTGCATAAGGGACAGAAGCTGTTTGTTTTGCTGCCTGGATCTGAGGGCCATTTGCTCACCTGTGCCTGTGTAGTTTATCTTCCAGCCTGTGTGGCTCCCTGACTCATCCGTGGCAAAGGTGATGGTCACCTCATGGCTGTCGGTTTCAATCCTGTGGGGCAATGTCTTCCCACAGAAGGGGCCATATTCCCTCTTGCGTGTTCGAATCTGAGTAAAGAGACTCAGCCTCCAGGACCTGCTGCAGGTCTCTAGCCCAAGTCAGATGGTAGCAAAGTAACTCAAACTGGCTTGGGCAGGCTGGGAACAAAAGGTGGGGGTACCTTCATGCTGAAGCCACAGCCTGGCTTAGACCCCCCCCCCCCAGAGAAAAAAATGCTGAATGAGGTTCACTGGAGGACAGACAGAGGGGGGAGTGTTGAAAGATGAGGGGTGGGGCAGTGTTGAGGGAAAAGAGCCATGGCAAGGTAAGGATGCAAGAACCAGACCTTGAGGGAGTCATAGGGGCACTGGGCTTCAGGGTGCATCTCCACGTCGAAGGACTCCACGAAGTCCAGGGTAACAGCGAAGCCGTCCTCCAGGCGGATGCTGTAGGTGCAGCTGGAGAGTTTGGGGTATGGCTGCGGGTACTCAGGGCTACTGAGATACCCAGACCTCTCAGTGAACACCTGGCCTGAACAAAGGGCTGAGAAGAAAGAGGATAGGGTGGCATGGCTCTGCTCCTGGAGGAACACCACTGGAGGACAGGGAGATACCTGGGACATCTATATCCCGGGCTTGGTCAAAACCCTGCGCTTGACAATCTGCAGAGGCAGGAGAGGACCCCACCTCCCAGCCCAAATGATGCTGAAAGGCAGTGGGGAAGGAGACTCTGTTGCCCTCAGGCTTTAGCTGAAGCATGGTAGTTGTACCAGGGCTAAGTTTGCCAGGACCTACTCCAGGGTCAGAGTCACAAAGAGGTGGAGAGCCAAAGAAGCGGGGCCAGAGGGAAGTGGGCCCTGGAAGTAGGAGGCAGGCCACCTCCCCGAGGTCCCTAGGTCCCTAGGATTCCAGGGGAAAGACAGAGGAGGCTCCTGGAACTGAGGGTTTTTTTTTTTGTTTTTTGTTTTTTGTTTTTCTGCTCTCAAATCACTCCAGTGCCCAGCTCAGCAGTTCCTAAGTGAGTCCACAAGGGGGCTTCCACCCATATCTGCAGGGACCAGCCCAGAGCCCTTGATCCCAGGTAACAGGCTGAACAGGCCTTCCCCAGGCCTTCCCTGGTCTTAGAAGTGGCCCTGGGGAAGGTTTAGGGACGTTTATGTCACCAGTATGCACAGTCTGCCTTCCTTTTTTTGGGCTGCCAAGTTGTCCTGTTGACAAAGATAAGGCTCCATTCCTGCTCCCTGCCTGCTCATGGTGGAGACAGGCTGGGAAGACAACTTGTAGGAAGTGAAGGCTTTTCATACTGCTCTTCTGGAAGGCTTCTCCATACTGGTAGAGCGGACTCCCTGGATACAGAGGGACCAACCTGACCCCTTAGTAACATCCTCTTTGGTCTCTCTTCTTAGTCAAGCTCTCCAGGGTCAGAGAACAAAGACCTGCATTGTCCTATAAACCAGAACTGGCTAAAGGCGGCTTGAGATCAGCCTCAGGGCACCCAGTAGCGGCTGGAGGGTCTCCCTGTGTGAGCTCAGGGCATCCCTCCATTCGGCTGTGAGAGGAGGATGAAGATGAAGAGACTCAGGTTGCTGTACTGCCCTCCAAGCCTGTCACCCTGACCCCAGCAAGAGACACACAGCACAGCGGAAACGGAGGCAGGTTTATTATTGTTGCGGGGAAGGTGAATGGGTGCTGTAGCTGGCAGCCACTCCAGCCTGACAGGGCTTCATCCTGTGGGCATGTACTGACTGGGGTCTGACTCACTGGGGTGGGCAGGCTGGAGCTGAGGGAGGTTAGAGGCTCTGCTCTGGAAGAGAGATTGGGGTGGGGGTGGGGGTGCTATCAGGAAGGCTGAGGAAAGAAGGACCAGGGCAAAGGATCAAGAGACAGGGTAAGGGAAGCCAAAGGCCTTAGCTGCTGGGGTCAGGAACTGTGGCTCCTCCACTCCTCCACTCTGAAGTCCTGTGGTAGACTGGAAGCTTACGGCACACCTGGCTTAGCCAGAGATGCCGAGTCTACCGAGGAACCACCCAGAAGGAAGAGGCAATTGGCTGGTAGAACTAGGGATTCCAAGAGTAGGGGCAGGGGACTGAAGTCCACCATTGGAGAGCAGAGAAAGGGGAGGAGGCGTTGGACATGCTGAGTGCGTTGGAGGGGACAGAAGAGCCCAGCTCCTGCTTTGGTAGCTGGAACAACCCGGTGCAGATGGGGTGCCCCTCCCCCCTCACCTGAGCAGGTGTGCTTGTTCTGATGGAGAACATAGCCCGCCCGGCAGGAGCAGTAGTAGCCGCCCAGGTAGTTGTGGCAATAATGGTCACAAGGGGCTGAGTCTCCCAGGGACACTGTGCATTCATCCACATCTAGAGGAGAGGGGCCAGGCAGGCAGGAGGGAAACAGAGGGAACACGGGGCTCAGGCTTCGGGGGCCCACTTGACAGGAGGCCTGTTGCTTGACAGTTTACAGGCCTGGGGCCAGAGTTGCAAGTAGCACGCTTGCTAAACCAGAGGCAGGTTAAGCATCCTGCTCAAAACTGTCCAGGCAGAGGAGGGAACAGCCACCATCAACCCAGTGGCAATAGGGTAGACGCTTTCTGAGCAGAGAGGTCGAGCCACTTGCCTGAGGTCACACAGTCTCCTTCAGGGACCAGAGTGTGCAGTCAAGGGGAATGCCCGTGCTGACAGGCTGAGGCCTGGGCAATCGCTTTGTAACCGGATTGCTGGTTTGCAGCTGCATCACATCCTTAGCACACGTGATGGAGGGACCCACCCACCTTCCCTGTTGGTTTGACCTGAATCCAGAGCCCCAGGAGAGGTGGGAAGCAAGAGAACCAAAGATGGGGACAGTCACCCAGCTGCATCTGGCTACTTGAGCCATCACTGCTCACCCTCCGCTGCATAGAAGGCCTCAAATCCTGTGAATGGCTTCTCATTGGAGTAGTCGGAGTGGAAGGTGACCTTTAGGCTGGGACCCAGTGAGTAGAAGGTGGCATTGCCAGGTGCCTGCTCAGTGTCTGTACTCTCCTGCCCACACAGTGTGGCTATCACCTTTGTCCCTGAGCTCAACTGTGGGGTCAGGGGTCAAGGGAGGGAAAGTTAGAAACAGGCCTGCCCTCCCCTCTGGCCAGGTTTTGCCATACCTCGTAAGAAGGGCCCAGCTGAGCACCCTGTTGGGTACCTTGACAAAGTCATACTCGCAGAGGTAAGAGAGTTCCAGGTTGAAGTGGGTGAAATAGAGGCGCAGGCGGTAGCCAGGAGGTGCAGTCAGTGTCCAGGATCGATCCTGATGATTGCCATACTTCTCTGGGAAGCCAGGGGACACCAGGCGCCCAAATACAGGCTCAGGCCACTTGGAACCCGAAAGTGTGGCCACCAAGCTCCACAGCAGAGCCAGGAAGATCAGTAGCCTGTGGGCAGGGGAGTGTCATGAGCGTCCAGGCCTAACTTGTTCTGCTCCCCCAGAAGCTATGGGTCGCCTACCCACCTCATGATGTGTACCCAGCTCTGCAGGTCCAGAGCTCATCACCTTTGATCTGTTTGTCTAGCACCAGGCCCCACCCTCCACCCCCACTCCCAGCCTCCTAAACCAAGGATTCTGGGAATCTACCCATGGCTCCTGCCTGCCTCCCTTCCAGAAAGGAAGGTTTGGTGGCTCTGAGAGCCAGAAGCTTGACTCGGACCACAGCCTGGTAGTAAACCTCAACTCTACCCTCACCCACAGTCAGCACTTCCTTCCTGGTGGGACCGGGAAGGTCTGGTGGGCCAGAGTCTCAGTGATGACATGGACAACCTAAGATTCCCACCCCCACCTCCACCCTCAACTCAGGGAGAGGCAAAGAAAGTAATTTGAGAAAACTCATGAACAAGAGGAAATGCAACAAGGGGCAGAAAGACAGGCTGAGGCCACACTTGGGAACATGAGTGGCGGGCACAGGTGGGAGGAGTGTCTCGCAGGTGACTTCTGAGCCCAAAGCAGAATTAGGAAGCTGGGGCTCCTGACACTGGTGCTCATTTGGAGGTAACATTACTTATTTGAAGACACGATCTTTCTATTTAGCCCTGACTGTCTTTGAACTGTGTAGACCAGGCTAGCTTCAAACTTGTCTAATCCTCCTGCCTCTGCCTCTGGAGTGCCTGCAGAGAAGGAACTTTTATCCCAGCAATTACAAAAGCCAAAATTGAGAAATGGGGAGACTTGGTTCAGCCTACAGAGAAAAGAATGGGCTGGACTGTGGAGGGGCCATCACTCACAAGGATTGCAATTTTTTAGGTGTGTGTGTGTGTGTGTGTCTGAGTACTAGAAATTAAACTTGAGTCCTCTGGGAGAGCAGCAAGTGCTTTTAACTGCTGAATCATCTCTCCAGCCCCAAGGATGTCGTGTTAAAGAAATTTCGGGCGGTGGTGGTGCACACCTTTGATCCCAGCACTTGGGAGGCAGAAGCAAGTGGATTTCTGAATTCCAGACCAGCCTGGTCTACAGATGAATTCCAGGGCAGCCAGGGCTACACAGAGAACCTGTCTCAAAAAACCACACAAACAACAGACCATTTTTTTCATTATATCAAAATTGTTGCTGGGCGGTGGTGGCGCACGCCTTTAATCCCAGCACTTGGGAGGCAGAGGCAGGTGGATTTCTGAGTTCGAGGCCAGCCTGGTCTACAGAGTGAGTTCCAGGACAGCCAGGGCTACACAGAGAAACCTTGTCTCAAAAAAACCAAAAAAAAAAAAAATTGTTAGGGTCAGAACTTGAACAGTTAGCCTCGGCTACCAGTCCTCAATAGGCCAGTTTATCAGACACACTTAACAGTGAGAAGCAGAGAAAAAGGATTTATTCAATGTGGCCATGTTGAGAAGAGCAAAGAGGTCTAGTGAGCTCTTGAGGGTCCTGACCTGAGATTTAGGGTTAACTGGAGATCGAGGGGTTTGTGTACATAGGCAATACTGCTCCAAACGTGGTCCTTCCCATCATCCTCAGCTGTCAGGTGAACTGAAACCGTCAGAACACTGTGTGAGATGTATTCCTGGGAGACAAGTTCCTCCTCGGGCAGCCACGAGGCTGAGGCCTCCACCTTCCCCCAGCAGAAGAGGCCTGGAAGATTCGAATGCCTTGGCATCCATTATTTGAATAGTTAGGTCAAAAGAAGGGCACAATGCCCCTTCAGAATAGCTCCCCTCCTCCCAAGATGATTATGCTCATGGCTTAGGTCCTCCCACGTGAGCTACAGTCCCTCCGCCAGTTTGTCTTCAGAGACATGCTGGCATTACCTTGCTCTTGGTGGGTTTCACTCTTGTAGTAAGGAGCTGGAGAGACAGGGCCTGCATGCTCCCTGCATTGATGCTTTCAGGCATTTCCTGTCAAGAGAAGGAAACTCTCGGGCCACCGGCTATGGAGGAATGGGCCATCGTCTCTTGCTCTCGTTCTCTCGTTCTCACGCCACCGGTATGGGAAGTTGCTCTTGCTAAAACTCCTTTTCAGTGGGAGACTAAACAAAGACTTTCTCCTAAGGTCCTGAGGCCAAGATTCCACTAAAAAGTTCACTTGGGGAACTAATGATCTGTTGGGCTCATAGTTGATCGTTAGTGTGGGTGCTTCTCCCCAACAGGCTGTGTGTGGGAAGCCTTTACCCAGCAGAGATAAGTGCTCTTCCCTGGTCTTCCCCAGCCAGTGTACTCTAGCCCATCCCCAAGGCCACCTGCAATAAAGCAGGAAGAACACAGAGAGGGGATCAGCTGGGTACTCAGGTGAGGGCCATGTGACTCTCCCCATCCTCCCATTGTGGGGGTGTAAACAGTCAACAAGCCTAGCTGGGATAGTCATTTTGCAAGGGGGCACAGCTGAATGCTCCAAAATGACATTTGCTTGGCTCGGGAGGATAGTCACACACAACAGTTGTCCTTGCTCAAGTAACTCCTCACGTATGCTTGCAGAAACATTAATTAAATGCAGTGGGACTGGGACAGACAGACAGACAGACAACAGACAGACACACCCCACACCAGACTGGAAAGTATAGGGGACCTGTTGAGAAGGGCTCGGTGTTGAGGACAGGCAAGAGGACACTAGGTGGATGTGGTCAAGCACATTATATTTGTGAATGAAGGTGTGAAAGAAAAATGTGAAAAAAAATAATAAAAAAAGAAGAAAAAGAAAAAGAAAAATGTGGGGGTTCTGGAGAAATGGTCCAGCACCTAAGACCACTGGTTGCTCCTGCAGGACCCAGGTTCCATTCCCAGCCCCCACATTGCCACTAACAAACTGACTCCAGTTCAGGGATCTGACACCTCTTCTGGTCTCTTTGGGCACATGGTGCATAGACAAGTATTGTACAAGCAAAGCATTTATACACATGAATAAAACTTTACAAGTTTCTGGGTTTTTTTTTTTTTTGCTTTTGCTTTTTTGTACTGGGGAATGAACCCTGGACCCCCTCATGCTAAGTACATATTCAACTACAGAGCCATATCCACCATCCTGTAAGTGACTTTTTCATTTTCCCAGGAAGTGTGACAGAATGCCCCCCCCCCTTTTTTTTTCAGGGCAGGGGGTCTCCATGTAGCCCCGGCTGTCCTGGAACTCGCTTTGTAGAGCAGGCTGGCCTCAAACTCAGACATCTGCCTGCTTCTGCCTCCCACGTGCTGGATTCCATCTGTGCACCTCCACCTCCTGGTTCCACTGAGTCATTTAAAGCACCTTTACCTTATTATTTGTTGTCCGTTTGTGCACAAGCATGGAAGTCAGAAGACAGCTCTCCAGAATTGGTTCTCTCTCTCTACCATATAGTTCTCACGACTGAACTCAGTTGGTCATGCTTAGTGGCAAGCACTGTTAACCACTGAGCCATCTTGCTGAACCTGTTTTAAAAAATTTTTTTAGTGTTTGCCTGAATGTCTATGCGTGCATCATGTGTATGCCTGGTGCCTGTGGAGCTCAGGCTATCAGATCCTCTGGAACTGGAGTTACAGATGGTTCTGAGCCACCATGTAGGTGCTATGAACTAAGCCTAGATCCTTTGCAAAAGCACCCAATGCTCCTAACTGCTGAGCCATCTGTCCAGACCCCTTCCTTGTTATAGGTCAGGCTTCCTTTGAGCTCAGCTTTCCTGCCTTAGCCCCCTGAGTGCTGGGGTTACAGGTGTGTGTCTGGAGCCTCTTATTTTCCTCCTCTTTCTTCTTCCTTTGATTTTAATAGACTCTGAGTCTCACATGTTTTCTAAGTTTTCTCTGAGATTAAAATATTCCATCCAGCAGGGAAGCTCCTTAAGCAGGAAGGGTAAACTACACAAAATAGCTTCAGGAAGTCCCTGAAACAAACAAGATTTACTAAGACCCTCCCTGCCAGAGTAAACAATTAAAATGAGAGTCCCCTCAGATGGAAGGACACCCAGCTGCAAAGAAGACTCTGAGACCAGACCACTGTCTGAAAGAAGCAGAAACCAGCCAAGTCCCTGGACCAGGTTTACACCAACTGAGATATCTGGAAAGGTCACTCTCCAACCTGTTGAGCTGCCTTCAGGCTGTATAGTGTGTTTCAGGTTCCTAGCTTTGTGAGCAGTCACCTGTGCTGGGGTGGGCTTTAGTGATGCAGCTGTGCTTTTTTTTTTTTTTTTTTTTTTTTTTGTTTTTTGAGACAGGGTTTCTCTGTATATCTCTGGCTGTCCTGGAACTCACTCTGTAGACCAGGCTGGCCTCGAACTCAGAAATCCGCCTGCCTCTGCCTCCCAAGTGCTGGGATTAAAGGCGTGCGCCACCACTGCCCATTGATGCAGCTGTCTTTGTGTCATTTCTACCCCAATAAAACTACTTGGTTCACCAGATTGGCCTTTGGTGATTCCTGTACTTTGGTTTGTCATAAAGCGTGTGTTGTCTCCCCAGGAAAAGTTTTGTCACTCAACATTTCTCTCACAAGGATAGAAAAGGAGATGGGGAGATGGCTTAGTGGTTTTGACTACATAGTGTTCTTCCAAAGGACCTGAGTTTGAGATCCGGCACTGAACTCACAACCTCTCTTTTGGCCTCCCTGGGCATGCATACACTGTGGCAGACACACAAGAGAAGTCCTTATGCCTTTTTTTTTTTTTTTTTTTGGTTTGGTTTTTTCGAGACAGAGTTTCTGTGTAGCCCTGGCTGTCCTGGAACTCACTCTGTAGACCAGGATAGCCTCGAACTCAGAAATCCGCCTGCCTCTGCCTCCCAAGTGCTGGGATTAAAGGTGTGCGCCACCACCGCCAAGTGTCCTTATGCCTTCTTATGGTGGCACACACCTTTAATCCCAGCACTTGGGAGACAGAGGCAGGTGGATCTCCAGAGTTTGAGGCTAGCCTAGCCTATAGAATAAGTTCAGGACAGCTATGGCTAAATGGAGAAACCCTGTCTTGGAAAAAAACAAAATAACTCCTTACAAATTATGAAAATTTTCAAAAATTAAATAATTATGGAAACAAGCCAACCAATCAATATTCTGGGGAAAGCCTCCACACTTTGTAGGAGGCAAAGCCACAATGGACTACTTCCTGTGCAAGCTGTGAGCATGCTATACATGAAATCCCA